AGATAGATAGATAGATAGATAGATAGATAGATAGATAGATAGATAGAGTGCAATAGTGTTTAGACTTATATGCTGCTTCACGGTGCCCTCTCTAAGCAGTTTACAGAGTCAGCCTCTTGCCCCCAACAATCTGGGTCATCAGAAGAATGGAAGGCTGAGTCAATCTTGAGCCGGTCAGGATCAAACTGCTGGCAGTGGGCAGTGAGTTAGCCTGCAAGACTGCATTCTAACCACTGTGTCACCACGGTTCTTCAGCTAGACAGGTAGGGAGATGGGTGGATGGATGGATGGATGGATGGACGGATGGACGGACGGACAGTCAGACAGACAATTAGGCAGGTAGGTAGATGGACGGTTGGATTGGTGGGTGGGCAGGCGGGCGGATGGACGGACAGACAGACAGACATATTAAAACATCAACTCCTGTCAGATGGATGGATAGGATGGGATGTGTTGGGAAGGATCCCCAGCCCTTGGTTTGCAGATCGGTATCAGTCATCAAGTCCAACCCCCCTAAGGACTGCAGGATGTTCTATCCAAAATAACTTTGATAAAGTGGGGCAGGGATAAATGAGACTCTTCAGTGTGCTTAGGTAAAAAGCTTTAAAAACCTTAACTAGTGCTGAAAGTAAAGGGGAAGATTTGAATTCTTTCAAACGGACAACCGCAAGAATTATAATCCAAGCACCATTAGATCAGTCTGATAAATGCCATTTTACCTTCATTCTACTAGGAAACACTTAATGACCATGCCTTTAAATCTAGGGCCATTTTTAAACCGCCTATAATAGTTGTACTGCTGTTGTTTTTTGTTTTTAATTACTGTATGTTCTTTTAGCATTCCTCCACCTCAGTTTTGCTTTTTGGGCAGTTTTCCTAAAAGATGAGTTGGTTTCATTTGCAAATGCCCACTTTAGAATGCTTTTCTCTCATTCATTTTTAGATATATATATATATATCTTTTCTTATGTTTTCGTGTGTATTTATAAGTATGGTATTTAGGTTTTTTCGGGTATTTTCCCATGTCTTAATATTTGTGCTTTTATTATAGCGACGTTTCGGCAGAATCTCATCTGCCATCCTCAGGCTTGTGTATTGGGTTCTTTTTAATCTTATGTGTCAGGTTGCTAGTACCATATGTGTGTGTGT